AATAGGAAAAAGGAAAGCAAGGTAAAGATTCTATGACCAAAACATAAAGAGAAACTTAACTTCATGTCATTCAAAAAGAAGAAACAGAAAACAGCATTTTGGAACAAAGTGTGAAGTGAGTCACAAGACCCATCTACACTGTCCATTTAATGCGGTTCGAAGCTACCTCCAATTTGCAGTTACCAAGTAACTCCCATAAAACCATGCAAAAAAAAGCCCTTAATATGCATCCGTACTCTCTGGTTTGTGTAATCACCATTCAGGTATCAACCTGGTCCTAGTATTTCCTATGGAATCATTTTGCACAACAAAACCAATTTCTTCAATATTGGTTTGAATCAGTATTACATGATCAATGTAAATGGGTCCACAATCTTCCACCTATTATTTTAACAAATAAATTGCAGGAAAAATGGAGGAACATGGTCTGTGGGAAACAGTGTTTATAGTATTCAAGCCGAAAGCATAGTGTTTCCAAGCTGTATATAGGATTTATTGTCAGTTGGGGAATGTACTGCTGTCAGCACACTGATTTCTTGACATAATAAAGAAAATTAATATAGAGACATAGGGAGTCAGTTTGAAAAGAAAGATGTGATATCAGAGATGCTGACTGAACAGGGGTTTTGTGGTAGATGGAGGGATGCAGCTGGTTGTGAGCTGATTTTGTTTTAGGAAAAGGGATTGATTAAAACAGCAGGATTCATAGCAGCCGGCCAATCTGGGTGGGGCTTCTGGGAGTTGAAGTCCAAACATCTGGAGGATTAGAGTTTGAGAAACACTGGTTCAAAGGAAAAAAACAGGTTTGCCAGATCTGGAGGTGTAGGGGGACTTGGTCCCTGCCCTGTTCATATGATTATGCTTATTACTGGACAATGTATGCCTTGCGGGTGGGGTCTGGGTGGCTAAACCTGCCTGGTGAGTCTCCAGGCTTGACTCACCGGAGAGACAGGTGGAGCCCAGAAGCAGCGGCAGTGGCCGTCACACCTGGCCAGTCAGTCCTGCACGAAGCCAAGTTCTGGCAGCATCATGGCCTTGAGTGTGACCGTCAAGAGGGTCACCCAGCTGCCGGGGACTGGGGAAAGGCAGGTGCACGTCAGCTTCCGAGGTGAGGACGACGGGGATATGTGAACGGGGATGCCATTGGGAGTGGGGTGGGTGATGGAAATGGACCGGGACTGAGTGAAAGAGCGAAGGGCGCCATTAGTTTTGACTGCTGTTTGCTTGAGGACAACATGGAATAGCATGTACACATCAGGGAGATAAACAGTGTTCTAACTATGTCCCTTTAATAATAGTACAGGCTATGTGTACATTTTGGAAGGAGTATTTATTCTCTTCAATTCTGTTTATTTCCTGGGTCTTAAAAGGCATATTTGTGGTCTGTGATGTTTTCCAACTTGTTCTTCTCCTGGGAGAGAATCCTAAAGAAAATGCTGAGATGTGAAAGTTTTCTCATGTACTTAGTATTTCCTTCTAGGAAACCGAACACATCTATGAGTCACTGTGCTCTGCGTGCAATTACATTGTTATATGGATATTCATCACACTTGATATATAGGTGTTGCACACAGGTGCCATTTTCCTCACAGACATGCAAAGAGCTATACAGGAATATTTTTCATGTTAATAAAAGAGACAGAGAAGCCTCTCTTGTCAGATTTTCCACCCCTCAAAATGAAAGTATGAACCAAATGTAGTATGCATATTCGAGTAATGCTACGTTCACACACACACACGCACACCATAGTAACTGCCCCTAGGGTCCTGGGACTGGCACTTTAGGACGAATTTAGGATACCCAGCCAGAGAGTGCTAATGTCTCACCAAATTACAAAGACCAGACTTTGATAGGATGAAACTATAGTAGTTAAAGTGGAATATAGTGCTATATTTGTATATTGTGAATGGGTTCCTGGCAGAATTCAACCATGGAAACCCATTGGGCAACTTTGAACACTCTCTCAGCCTAAGTAGGAAGCTATGGCAAGCCTCCTCCTGCCCAGAAAACTCCATTATAGTGCCACCATAAATTGGAGTTCACTGAAAGGCACATAACAACAACAAAATAGAAACAGCTCTTACCTGTCATAATACCTCCACTTGGGAAATTATAGTCCAATATAGTTAGAAAATACTAGCAGCAAGATATGGAGGCAGGATTCAGAATATTGTCATTCCTAATTTTACTATTTTGTTTCATTAGCAGCTGTGAAATAATGAAATTCTTAAGCTATCCCACATCTCTAGTAAGATTGTATGAAAACATAACTGTATGCTTATTGGAGGACAAAACCCATAATTTCCCATTTCGATTTGCTGAAACTATTGGAATGTCCTTGCTATTTTGTGCAGGTCTTTGTTCCATGTGGAAAATGAATTTTGAAGGGAAAGAGTAGAGTCTAGCCAGTGTTTTGACTGAAAATTATCCACCCCAGAAACATTGAACCTGTCTATTCAAGAAGTGCAGCATTTTTGCGAGACATTCGTTTCCTCTTTGGTCTCTATTTAAATATAGCTTCTCAACAGTAGTTGTTGACTTAGTAACTGATAAGAGTCCAGTATCAATTTTGTGCATTCCACTGCAATAAAATACTTTCTGGAGAAAAGATATGTTTGCATTTCTCTATTATGGATCTGGACCAAACTGTGCATGAATACTCAATATGCCCAAATGTGAATAATGGTGGAGTTTGGGGATTTAGTAGTTCTGGGATTTATAGTTCACCTACAGTCAAAGAGCATTCTGAACCCCACTAATGATAGAACTGGGCAAAACTTCCCAAACAGACCCCACATGACCAACAGAAAATACTGTGTTTTCTGATGGTCACTGGCAACCCCTCTGACACCCCCTCATGACCCCTCCAGAGATCCCGACCCCCAGGTTGAGAAACGCTGCTCTAAAATCTGAAGTCAGGCCAGTTATATCATCTAGCAACCCATCTTTTCTGTCTCCCAAATAACTTCCACTTAAGTCAAGCAATATAATATACATTATTTCCAAATTCTAGTCCCCCAGGTTTTTGAGAGTTGAAATCTAACAGTATGCTACTCTTCCATTTTATGAACATTACATCAGGATTAGAAATCAAACTAGAATAATTTGTCGTAAAATCAACATTTTGTCATCTGTAATGAAGATGCCAACAGTACAGTGTTACATGATTGTTAGAATATTGGATCTCAGTGAGTGCTTTTCTTCTTCCTTTCCTCTTTAAAAGAAGTGTTAGGCACCTTCCACAAAGCTGTATAAAACTCACATTGAACTGGGTTATATAGCAGTGTTGACTCAGATAATCAAGTTCAAAGCAGATATTGTAGATTATTTGCCTTGATATTCTGGGTTATATGGCTGTGTAGAAGGGCCCTTAGCTGCTAGGATGCAGCTTCTTTGAGTGTTCTCATTTGCTGCTCCCTCTGCATCCAGTTGTTTAATTCTTACATCTGGCAAGCATGATGCTGACAATTTTTGAATGTCCAGTGCATATTCAAATAACCAAAGACTAGCAGAGTCCCTGATATATGGGTGGGAAGTGGGCAAAGTTTACATCAGAAAAGAGTCTACCTTGTGTCAACATTATTTTTACGTTCAATGTATGCATGTATGCAGATCTCTACATATTTTAATATCTGAATAGACCTGTGAGCCTTCAGCTATTCAAATGAGCATTTACTGGCATATGTACATACGATGATGTCAAACAAAATATTGACAAAAAGTAAAACTTTCTGGCACCTTTACTGCCATGAACTTTACCCACTTGCTATTTCCGAAGATCTGAAATTCTCTGCTCAGTGAGGTGAGTGTGTATTCCATATACAAAACATTTAGTATTTTATTAACTTGACTATACTAATCCCTCCACATGTGTGGGGGTTAGGAGCACATATCCGCACACATATTTGCTCACTCAGTCACTGACTTGCTCACTCATGGATCCGTATAGACCTCAGATGGAATATGAGAAGACAGACAGACAGATAGACAGACAGAAAGAGGGAGAGGGGGAAGGAAGGAAGGAAGGACAAAGAAAATCACTTTCCGAATAATAATGGGAACCACTCAGCAAATGCTGAAACCCTCCAAGGTTAGAAAGTGTATTTAATTTTTTTTAAAAAAACGTGTTTATATCCATAGCAAAGGTGGGCAAGTGTTGCCTCTTGGGGTGTCAATTTTCTACTCCAGGTATGTATCAATTGCTGGGGTGGGGATGGGGTGGAAAACATGTGGCCAGACCTTAATTTTCCCCTGTTACATTGCACAGGGCCCCTCAACAATGTATTTTAAAAGTAAACATTAATATTTTGAGATTTTCCTGAAAAAAATGCACTCTTTTAAGCATGGAGCAGAAAAAGTCAGTCTGGGGAATTTTACTTTTGATGGTGTTGAGAACACAGAAATAGCTTTGAAGGGCTACCTGTTATCCTGAAGTGATTGAGCTAGGACTGTGAATAGGAGGTGCCATGCCTGGTGAGCTCATGCTAAACCAGAAAGGCCAGGACAGAGAATCCAACTTACCAGGTTGAAGACAAGCCACAGAGGTTTATTACAATTCAGCCAAAAAGGATGCAAGTACAAGTAATTTGCTTCAAAATGTGCAAGCATAAATATACAGAGAACTGCAAGACATCTTATACAGTTCTGGCAGCCATTCAAACCTCCTGTTCCATCCACTGATTGGCCAGAAAAAAGGCTAGCTAGGATCCGCACTGAGATTGACTGACAGGCCTACTGGCATTACAGCTTCCAGGCAGGGATTCCCTTAGTGGGGAGAATGGTAGCTGGGGATTGGTCAGGATGAAGGACCAATCATCTGCAGAGATGCACCCCTGGGAGGGTGCAATCTGGGAGAAAACAATACCAATGATATGTTGATGAGTTTTTGATTCACTCAACTGTCCAGTTATGTGCTAAACAAAGATATGGAGCGCAAGAGACAAAGATGTGAGACTCAGAGGATAAAGGTTCAGAGCCTGGGCAATCAAGGGCTTGACTCTATAAAAGAGTCAACAAATACCTTAAGCCCCTGTTTCCACAAGGGAGCTCTCAGCCTCAGGTGAATTATAATTTTTGCTTATCTGGCTGGCAAGGGAAATCACCCATCTGTATATACACACAATGAACCTGATGATTATCTGGCTTGGAAAATAGTCAGAGGGATTTGTCCAACCTTTGTATTCTCAGGGGATTATTTCAGAAGAGTGACAGAGAGGTGGCTGTCTCTGGGCTAAATTTTGAAACAATTCTATAAGTCAGTTTATATACATTTTACACAGGAAAGGTAAACTGTACACAAGTTACACAAAAATCATAAAAATATATACAATTTATTGAAGGGTTAGATATGATCTAATTTATGGTTTTATAGCTGCTGTTGGTTTGTTCTCGATCTTCTGAAGCCTTGAACTTGCTCAATTCCAGACCTTTGGGGAAAGTTTTTAATAAAAAGGAGAACAAAATATTTATTTGTGGTCTCTTGGTGAACTATAAATCTTTTTGGGGGGTGGCTTACAGTGGCTTGATAACAAACCCCAGGCTTGGTTTTTGATATTTCATTCATAGTGAACACAGAGAAAGTACATTGTTGGTGCACCCATATAAGCTAGTAAGAGTTTTAACTGTGTAAGATGCAGTTGGATGTTTGTAGGCACTTGTCTTGATTTATCCTCACGCACGAATCCCCTAAGACTGTCAAACTGAGAACTTTATTTTCTGAATTAGATTTTTTTAATTACAAGATTTAATTTGTATGTATAGTAAGGTAGTCTTCCAAACCTTGTGAGACTGCAATCTCCATAAATCCCAGACAGCATGAACAAATAATGAGAGATGATGGGAATTACAGCTCAACACTATCTGGAGTGACCTGGTGTGTTCTTGGAGGCTGCATATTCTCTGAGTGAAGGCCCTTGAGTACATTGTTTACAATGGCATACACATTCTGCATTTTGTTCACAGGTTTTACTCAGAAGACAAAGAAGATACATTCTGATCAGGAAGCACTCTTTGGAGAGGTAAGGCAGCATTGCATTCATCTCAAGAACTGAGCTTGCCATCACAGCTCATCAGCATACTGTACCTTAGTGTTTGAAGACAAGTATCTCCTTTCCCATATTTTGGGATTTACAACAGCAAAATCCAGTTTTGCTCAACAGCAAGACACAGTATGACATGACTAATATGCTCAAGCTTTTAACAATAGAATCTTATTCTGCCCCCAAACTTTTTTGTTTATGAAATCAGTCACACTCAGCCATCTTTAATCATGAATTTTAAATGTACGTCCTGTGTTTTAATCTGTGTTCTCTGCATTTTAATATGTATTTGATAGAAATATGTTGTAGTTTGTGTATTTTATAGAAATGCGTATTAACCTGTGTATTTTATAGAATGTTTACATTCTATAAAATACCCACCTATAAAAATTTATAAAATTTTATAGGGATAAAAATACCTATAAAATACCTACGCACAAGCTACCTACCCTAGGCCTAAATGAAGAATCACTAAATCAGCTACAGGAATATCTCAGACTAGTTCAAGAGAATCCATACAGTGATGAGACTATAGCAGCAGGCCAAAAAGTATCTACAGCCATAGCTAATGCTAAGAAATACCATTCAACAGAGCTGCTTGAGAATCTTGATATGTCCAGGAGTAACCAAAGAGCCAGGCAATTGCTGAGACGCCTGGATACTGACGCTCTGGTCAACTGTGGACATACAAACGTAATACCAGACCAGATAGCACACAAGCTAATTAAGAATGAGAAAACCAACTGCAGCAGAGTAAAGGTGAAAATCTATAGGATGCCAGAATTTGAAGCCTACCAATTGTCATCTCCCCTAAACCTGAAAGAACTCAGAGAAGATATTAAGTTATGTATTATGGAGCAAAACAAACAACTCAGCATCTGTATGCTTGCCTACGATGCCCTGCCTCATGCACAAAGGAAGAACTGTTTAAAGCTACAGACAATGAGGTCACTGTTGCTTGATTTTGGTCTAAAATTATTTAGCCGCTTGCGTTTCCCTCTTTTTTATCAATTTTGTACTTGTTTATTTATGCAATGCTTTTGACCCAAAATAAATAAATAGTATGTTTACAATGATTATGTGTTTTAACTATGTTGTAAGCCACCTTGAGCCATGAGGATAGATAGGAAAGAAATAAAATTATTATAATATAATTGTTATACCAAATTGCAATTTCCTTAATGAACACAACCTTCCATATTTGTTGTGTTGGTAAGAAATAAACAAAAAATATTACAAACTAACTTTCTCCACTGTTTAATGTGTGAAGATGTAAAAAGTTCTGTAGCTTAAAAGAAAAAAAAACATAAGAATCTTGCGACTCTTGAGACCCTGTATTTTATTCCCATTCTTGAATATATTTTGTTCTAATGTCAAGTTATATCAAAACAGTATGTTCCCTTTTTTCTTCTCCTTTCTTTAGATTTCTTTATAGTTTTAAGGCTATAGTACATTGATGCTTCAATGAAATGACACTTTTGCACTATGACTCGTGTGTGTGTGTGTGTATTCTCAAAGAGGAGAAACTTTACCCATCAAACCATAAAAGCACCTCAAAATATCATGTTCCAGTTTTTTCCAAAAAGAAAAAAAACTCATTGAAGAGTCCAATTGCATATCTCGGAAATTGCTACAAGTAGATGCAGTTATGGCACAACCTGCAAAACTCAGAAAAACCCAAGAAGCTGTATTGTAAGAACTCATGCTTCTTTAGATTCATCTGGACGGGCACTAAAGAACGGGAAATTGAATTTTTAAACATCCAAAATGTTGACTGTGCTGTTCTTATTTTTAGATCTTTCGTTGGCCACATTATGGAAAATTCATTATGGAAGAGATGCTAAAAGTTAAAGTTTACAACTGCAGCAAGGTATTCAGTAATAGGTAGGTTCATATTTATTTCAAGAGGGTGATATAAGGCACAAAAATGGAGTTTGACTGATATCATCCAGTGTAGTTTTTCTCAAACTCTGCTCCTCCAGGCATTTTGGACTTCAGCTCCCACAATTCCTTACAATTGATAAGCTGGCTGAGATTTCTGGGAGCTGAAGTCCAAAACACCTGGAAGAGCAGAGGTTGAGAAACTCTGGTCAGTCAACGCATATTCAAGTCTAATTGATCAGAGCATGATCAATACTATAATAATTGATCAATACTAACAACAGGGTTGGGGTATAATAGCTTTATAGCTGCTAAGTATTTTAATAACTAAAATAATAAATATTAATATTAGATATCTGAAATGCTTAAATATATAAATGAAAAAGAAAGAAATGGTTGTATTAATGTGGCATTCCATATAGAGCTTTGTGCAAATATTCTGTAACTGGAATGGTGCTAGTGCTCTATACCAATTTTACTTGTTTTTTGCAGATTACTTGGTACACTAGTTATTAGCCTTCAACACTTGGTAACTTCTGGACGACTAACCATCCGAGAGGCTCTTGTTGACAAAAATCACAGCATCACTGGAGTAAGTCTCTATTGTCCTAACTGGAGATTTTTGTCCTTTTTGTTCTACATCCCCTGGATTCCCTCTGACAATGTGACCAGTGAGCATGATACCTGAGAGATTTGGGGGGTTTCAGTCCAATCTATGTATTTATAGCAGTGGTTCTCAACCTGTGGGTCCCCAGGTGTTTTGGCCTACCACTCCCAGAAATCCCAGCCAGTTTACCAGCTCTTAAAATTTCTGGAAGTTGAAGGCCAAAACATCTAGGGACCCACAGGTTGAGAACCACTGATATATAGACTGATGAACCAAAATGTGATATAGTAAAGTGAGATTGTACTATTTCAGGTTGTAGGTGGGTATTGCATGACTGACTTTGTCCACCCTGAGCCACTATTAAAAATTCTCCATATATTGAAAACAAAATAGTATATTTTTAGTGACATATATATGTGTGTGTGTGTCTGTGTCTGTGTCCAACTTTTGCCAGCATAAATCTTTTGTTTGCGTGTAACTGTGGATGTCAGAATGTGCTCCCTCCCACATGTAATGACCAAAAACCCCTGACAACTCATCTTCCTCTTGTGGCTCCTCATCTCCATAGCCATGTGGTGGCCTGTAGTGAGTGATAACTGAGAAGCATCCGACGTCACTATTGCCAAGTGCATAAGAATGAAAGCATTTTTCCAGATGATGATGTGGAGATGGGGAGCTATTTGGGGAAGTTTAGTCTTGCAGGAGAGTAGAGGGGAGATGTTTGTCAATCTGCCATTGAACTTGAACTTATTATACATTTCAGTTAAAATATCTGAAAGAAAGATTCTAACCATGCCTTTTTCCTGGCATTATAGTTTTAATCCTCCTCATCCCACAAGGAAACATTGAAACAAAGTCAAAAGTAGTTTAGTTAAAAAAAAATAGGCACAATGAATCCACTGTAATTGCCAGGGCAATATCCTATGGAATCCTACAACTGATGGTTTGATGAGGTATTTGAGGTCCCTGTCGGGGAATTCTAAATGCCCCTCCATAAGTCTTAGATCCTAGAATCATATAGGATAAAACCAGGTACTAATAGTAGAGCCATAGGGCTACATTTTAGTAGAGTGAAAAGTCTCTGGGTCTCCCTGTTGTACCTCAGACAACTTTGAATGCCACTTGAAAGAGCTGGCCCAGAATATTTTGCAGAAGAATGGCAAATACTGTCTTCCCAGTATCACCCATGTTACTTTGAAACACAAGGCAGAATATCCACAAGCACAGCTCCCCATCCCTGACAACAGAAATACAATAGCAACACAATAGATATCCAAAAATGTGCTGCCTGGGGCAGTCTGGTCATTTGGCTTGATGGAAGAATTGGCCTTCAATCTTGGACACCTCAAGGTAAAAACACTTTGATTGTGTAATCCTGCATGGCAGTGGGTTGGACTGGACAGCTCTTGTGGTCTCTTCCAACTCTCTAATTCAGAGTAGACACCTGTGTTGTACCATTGAAGAGCCTGCTCAATTTCATATGCTATTATTTTCTTTCTCATAACTCTCTTTTGCATGAGCAATAATTAATTTACCTGCTTCTTTTTTTCGTGTCAGGAGTGACTTAAGAAACTGCAAGTCGCTTCTGATGTGAGAGAATTGGCCTCTGCAAGGACATTGCCCAGGGGTTGCCCAGATGTTTTGATGTTTTAGCATCATTGTGGGAGACTTTTCTCATTCCCCACATGGGCACCTGGAGCTGTCAGAGGGAGCTCATCCACGCTCTCCCCAGATTCGAACCTCTGACCTGTCGGTCTTCAGTCTTGCTGGCACAAGAGTTTAACCCATTGTGCCACTGGGGGCCCCACCTGCTGCGTTTAAGTCATAGGAATAATTGTGTTATCAGTATTTTGATAAACGTATATCCTGCATGTTGGAGGAAATACAAATCAAAACAATTCAGAGTGTGGCTTGTAAATAATAGCTGTGGACTTCCTAAGATTTGCCTTTCTTAATACAGATCTATATTGAGTTAGACCTGCGATATCAGCCTCCTGATGGTGCTGCAGGAGCATGGGCTGAGGAAGACTTTATCTACCAAATGAAAGACAGGTTTGGAAAATTATATAAGGAGATAATTGTATAGTCCTGCAGTACTTGTTATTGTTTCTGAAGACTAAGATACAGTTCTATCAGAAGTCACAAGCAACTTTAGCCTTTCTATAGCTCAATCTTGTCATTATGTGCCTTCAAATCAAATCCAATTTATGGCAATTCAACCAGTGTTTTCTTGGAAATCCCTCAGAAGATATTTGCCATTGCCTTCTTCTAAAGTTGAGAGAATCTGACTTTCTCAAGGTCACTCAGCAGGTTTCTATGGCTGGGTAGGGACCTGAACTCTTGTCTCCTGGAGTCAGTCCGATACTCAAACCATTACACCACATAGGCCGTTAGCCAACTCTTCAGTGCTCTTTAAATCATTTTCCTGCTTAAAGCTATGAAAACCATACTGTTTTCAGATTCACTTAAAATGTACCAAGAGGTCTTCTAGGGACATGGGAAGTGGTAGGTGGTTTTTAAACAATTTGAGTCTATATTGACATGGTGTTGGATTGAATCCTTTGACATGGATATACCGAAAGATTTGTGTGGCTGTAAAGAAGCCAAAACATCTGTGCTGTGAGCAGAAACAAGATTAGCAAGGATTAGGAGTTCGGCACATTCAATGACATATGCATTTGCCAATTAAGATGAGTACAAATAGCCCTGGGCTATTTAATACTGAGGCGTGAAGAATTGTCACGGTTACAAATAATACCTAAAATCTACTTTGGAAGCAAATGTAGCAACCTCTCAGAACTGCTAATCCTAGGTGTTCTGATGACAGCAGTGCAAAAGGTATAAAACCATAATACGCTGTATAGCAGTGCTTCTCAACCTTCCTTATGCCATGACCCCTAATTACAGTTCCTCACGTTGTGGTGACCCCCAACCATAAAATTATTTTCGTTGCTACTTCGTAACTGTAATTTTGTGACTGTTATGAATTGAAATGTAAATATTTGATATGCAGGATGTGTTTTCATTAAATTTGGCACAATTACCTAATATGCTGAAATTTGAATACTGGTGGATTTGGGGCGGGGGTATTCTGTCCTTTGAGAGTTGTAGTTGCTGGGATTTATAGTTCACATATAGTCAAAGAGCATTCTAAATCCCACCAACAATAGAATTAGACCAAACTTCCCACATGGAACCCCCATGACCAACAGAAAATATTGGAGGGATTCAAGAGGAATTGACAGTGATTTAGGGAAGAGCACCCCTGCTCTCCCCATCCTAGTTGAAGTCTCACAAACAGCCCTCCCCTTGGCTGAGAGGCCAGCTGAGAGGCCAGCCAATCACAGCAGGAGGGGGGCTATTGGTGGGAGAATTTGCTGTCTGTTTCCAAAAAGGAAGGATAGACAGAGAGATCTTCAGCCTTCTCTGCCAAAGGGTTTCCTAAGATCATCAGAAATATGTGTTTTCTAATGGTCTTTGGTGACCCCCCTGAAACCCCCTTCGCGACACCCAGGTTGAGAAATGCTGCTGTATAGGAAGATATGTATTCACTAAATTCTGCTGCCACCACTGTAGCTCTTTTCTTTGGACTGCTACCATTCATTCATAGAATCTAAACAATTTAACTGCTAGAGCATTGCATTGCTAACCTCCCCCCTGCTGTTTTCTGCCTTTATAAAGATCAGATCTAATGCATTTTAATGGTTGTTACAGTTCTGCTTCCAGGTATTGCAAAAGAGTAGTGTGTCAGCATTGTTAAAAGGGGTTGGTAGTGAAAGGATTCCAGAAACATTAACTGTTACACCACTAGCAGATTGCTAAGAGAGTTGTTTTCCACAGCTGGCTTGTGCTTGTTTGATATAATTAATATTTTCCTCCTGTTTATCACAGTTCAGAGGTGATAATCCGCAACCCTGGATTTGAGGAACTAGAGTAAGTGACCTCTTCTTATTCCATTTTACAGTCAGATGCTCTGGAAAATAAGTGTGTAGATCAAGGACAAAAATTATGAGACATACAGTACATGAGACTCAGAGTGCACATGACGTTCACTGATAGGCAGGATAGAAGGAAACACTCTTAGAGGACCTGTTTTTCTTTGCCTAACATTATGATAATATAAAAGTGCTCCCATTTCTAATACGATGCTGCCATAGCAACAACACTTTTTCTTGCGATGTTCCCAGTTCCTGACAAGACGGAGCCTCCAAAGATTACAATGGAAAGCAATGCACTGTACTTGTCAGAAAATCAAGCTGAAAGGGATAAAGGAGATTTAAGTTCTTCCTAGGAAATGCAATCTTCCCTGCAGGGGGAGAGAATTTCCTTGTAGTAAATGCCCGTGTCTCTCTGTCTATAGTGATACAGACACAAAGGAATACAAGATGTGTTGCCTTAGGCAAAGAATACTCATCTTAACTCAAGTATAATGCGCCATTGAATGTAATGTGCACCTCAAAAATAATTTGCTGTCAAATGTAGTGCGAGGTGGTGGTGGCTATGAAAAGGCTGGTGGGAAACTGCACCCCTCCATCAAGTCTTTCCCACCAGCTTTTTCATAGCCAACGTTGCCTCTTGGCCAATAGAGCAGTTGTGTTTATGTGCATGATCCTAACGCACCATCCAATCTAATGCGCACCTCAATTTTAGCAATGTAATTTTAGCAAAAAAGGTGTGCATTAGACTCGAGTAAATATGGTAATATGAGTGCCTTATGCCATTCCATGTAAAGAAGCCAGCTGGGTTGAAAGATGGCACTTGTTTCAACACTGGCAATGGACAGCAACCCTGCGTCACTGGAGAGCAGCTGATTTTCAGGGGAAACACATGGCTCTGTCTTTCTGCATCATACCACTGCTCCTATATTCAGCATCTGTCACCTGAGGTGTTAGCTCACTTGTTATATCACATTATGGTTTCAGGTCCACCATATCTAGGCTCAATATGTGTTTATAAATCTGCCAGATTCCAGTTAAAGCTCAAATTGTGTGCCTCTTAAGCCTTACACTATAATACATTTATTTACACTTGAACTTCTTTGTCTCTTTAGATCTTTGATTTTGCAATATAGTCACGAAACAATCTTAGCTTCTTAGGGCCTTAATAGAAGAAATATTCTCTATTTCTACATCATCTTGGGTTTTTTGTTGTATTGGTTAATAATGGGTTGAATAGTATTATATTTTTACTGAATATTTTTGGTCCATTTATTACAAGGGTCTGCAAGCTTTCTAGGCAGAGGACTGGTTCATAGTCCCTCAGACTGTTGAGAAACTGGACTGTAGTTTTAAAAAAAATTCTATGCACACTGCACATATCTTTTTTGTAGTGCAAGAAATGGAAAAAAATACAATATTCTGGAGTCCCCTTTGGGGTAAGAAGGGTGGTATATAAATGTCGTAAATATTTAAGATGAAGAAAAATTTTCAACAACATAAACTTACTAGTATTTCAATGGGAAATATGGGCCTGCTTTTGGCTGATGGGATAGTCAAGCTAATTAGGGCTGCTGTTGTTGTGTGCCTTCAAGTCATTTCAGACTTAGGCTGACCCTAAGTCTAAAGTTTAGGGCAGGTAAATGACCTTGGAGGGCCAGATTTGGCTTGTGGCCCCTGGTTTCTTAGCTGGGTGGAAAAATGGAACTATAAGGTTCCAGTTATATAACACTTCCTTGGGAATAAGCTCTGTTTTAACTAATTTATTCCTGCCTCATTTTGAAAAGGGATGCATAACTTTACACTGCTAAGGCCTTGATTACTCACCCCTAGAGTTCTGTTTAGACATCTTTAAACTGTCTGCATCCTAGTGGATTCATGGGTTGCCCCTTTGCCCTTATATTCCTGCATTGGGCCAGATCATATCTAATTCCAAAGATGCCTTTTCATATATCGATAAAGCATGGTTTATAGCGAGAAGCCTAGCATTATAACAGACTCGTGCATTTCTGAAAATTATCTTTAACTCGAAACACTGCATATTTTTGTAACAGAGATGCTGAATTGAAGCGAGCTGCTGATCTGGACAGAAAAGCCGCAGCGCTTGGCAGAAAACTTGTCAAAGGCCTGGAGACCGATGATGACGAAGATGATTATTATGATGTATCTGACATGGAGTTTTCTGGTATTGTCTTCAGCCCCGTGAAAAGGTACTGTTCTGTACTCTCTGTTGTGTTAAATTGCCTTTCCCCCTCTCCACATGCAATGTTCCCTGAAGAGCACATTTACTTCGTTAATAGAGTAGTACATTTGACGTCTCTTCATGAAAGGAATTTGCTGTGAAATATACCTTTTAAAATGATGGTTGCTGTGTAGGTGGATAATCACATGCTGACTATTTTGCTGTGACACATCACAAAAAATGTCCATTGTAGAACCTTTCATAACTTTCTAACAACAAGAGCACCTTTCAGTATTTGGGTGAGTTTAATAAGCAGCCTACTTTCGTGCTGTTAACTATTGCAGGGTTTATCAAACAACGTCCAGTTTAGATATTTTTCACAAGCAATGTTAGGAACCCCCGGCGACGCAGTGGGTTAAACCCCTGTGCCAGCAAGACTGAATACCAACAGGTCGCAGGTTCGAATCCGGGGAGAGGTGGATGAGCTCCCTCTATCAGCTCCAGCTCCTCATGACATGAGAGAAGCCTCCCACAAGGATGATAAAAATATCAAATCATCCAGGCGTCCCCTGGGCAACGTCCTTGCAGATGGCCAATTCTTTCACATCAGAAGCAACTTGCTCCTGACATGACAAAAAACAAAACAAAAAACAAAACAAAAAGCAACTCCTCCAAAGAGTTCATTATCTCTGCATATTTGCCCCCTTCAACCAAGCTGCCTTACAGCAATCTTGTGAGACAGGTTTACTGAGGATCCATGGTTCCCCAATGAGCTTAGACTGGAAGTAAACCAACGGATCTGACTCAATATTTGTAGTAAACCTCACAGTTGAAGCTGAGTGTAAACCTTTTATTGACTTTTCTTTTAAAATCCACATATTTATTTATTAGATAGGCATCTTGCCTTTCTCTTTAAATGGGATTAACTTAGGTCCCATATGGGAGACAAATGGGATATAATGTAAATAAATAAATGCCCAGATGCACATGATAACATAACATTTTTAAACCAAAAGCTTGCTATCTCTCAATATTCTCCTCTTTTAAATTATATTAATAAGACAGTGAACAAGAATAATTATCTTTATGATTGTTTGGGAAATCACTCTGTAACTTATATAGACTTTCCATTTCCAAACACATAGTTCCCAGGTGTTGAACTTGAAAGTTATAGGAGATATTTGAGAGCTTCTGTTTCTTGGGGTTTTTCCTTTTGTGTTGGTGTACATGACAGATTTATAGCTATTACTTCCACTCTTTGAACACAGCTTTACTTATGTTATACAGTCTATATTCCAGAAATACTGTAAATCTATAATTCAATGATAATAACATTCTTAAGGCATTTGTTTTAATGCAGTTTTTTTTATTTCAGCCGTTCTAGAGTCTTCTCAAAATGGGATCTGTTTTCTACTCCCAGACCTCAAAATGTTCAGGTAATGTGCTTAGCAGTCTTATTATAAACCAATGGGTGCACAAACCTTTGGGTTCCAAGGGTTAGTTGGGGAAGCTAATTGGGCCAGACCTCGTTAGTACTTCGAAAAGAGACCATCAGTTAGCCAGGAAGAGAAACTAGGGGCCCTTCTGCACAGCCATATTACCCAGAATATCAAGGAAGATAATCCACAATATTGGATTGTTTGTTGATATATGTATTGTGTACTATGTTTTTATGCTTTTAAACTGTATATTGCCGATTGTTATATTTTGTTGTAAACCGCGCTGAGTCGCCGGCTAGGCTGAGAAGCAGCAGTATACAAGTATAGCAAATAAATAAATAAATAAATAAATAAATAAATATCTGCTTTGAACTGGATTATCTGAGTACACACTGCCATATAATCCAATTCAATGTGGATTTTATACAGCTGTGTGGAAGGGGCCTAAGTGCTGTAGGTTACAACGAGAGGAATCTTATCTCAAAGATAGGGTTCTAAAAGTCAAATTCAACTTGAAGGCAGAAAGTAAGAACAGCAACTGACTTCATTTTCTCTCTCATCATTCTGACCCTACCTGATTGATCCTAGGAAATGCATTTTCTCCACAGATTGGTATCAACATAATTGAAGCCCAGAAATTGGTTGGAGTGAACATTGACCCTTTTGTGGTTGTGAAAATTGGAGATGAGAAGAGACACACTGCGACGCAGAAGTCAACTAACTGCCCTTTCTACAATGAGGTACATAACATACAAACAAAGCTAGTATATGACTGCTATTATGTAACTGGATGTAGATGTAAAACATTTCAGAGGATTCACTATCTCTGTGAGGGCAATTTAATACATTATGAAATATGTTGAATTAGCATAAAAACCATCTGTAACTCAACTATACATTTCAATAGTTGTTCTGTGTACATGCATGGGCAAAATGCTTTATGAGCATGGGTAGGTTAAGAGCAAAACTTTAAAACTTTTGAAGGCTAATATTCTCAGAATCCTCCCAGCTGTGAGTTGGAGTTCTAAAAGTAATATTTCCAAGCTCTGTGCAAAAACATATATGATCATGCATATGCTACAGTGACGGCCTTTGGAATGTGGCAGCACACTGGGAAATAACTGCTTACAAATTGTCCTTTTCTCTTCCAGTATTTTACATTTGAATTTCATGAACCAAGAGATATCCTATTCCATAGGCTCATAGAGATTTCTGTAAGTATAGAACGGCACTGTAATTTATTCTTTTAGGGCATGGGTGGGCCGACACGACCACATCTACAATGGTGCTAAGAAATAGCCCTCAGGACAGGGAGCAATATAGCATTTTTCTCCTGGCATTTCCCCCCATCGTCTTCTTTCTGATTTTTGATACTTTGAGATGAATTGGATGTGATAACTAATATACAGCCTGAAGTATTGCTTTGTCTTTCTTGATTAGTAGTGCCAGTGTATCGTCCTTATGACACCTCGCTACTATGCTAGGTTCTTCCATTCGATTACAACAACAATACATCCATAGTAACGAAATTTAACAACCCAGCATATAAACATAAATTATGACTTAACAACTAAAATTAAATAAAAAACGCAGCCTGTTATATCAGACATAAGACAAAACATCGAACAGAAGCAACAACTTCCCAGTTCCTTGGAGGCAAATAGATTGATCATTGTTCAAGATATCTATTGAGCTGGTGGGGCAAGCATATTAATTATAACTCATAAACATCACCCATAAAATATAAAACTTTATTACAATTAAGACACATAGTACCACTAAAAACATCACATATAAAACATCACATATAAAAAGTATAGAAAAAAAAACTGAAAAGGATTTCAAAAGCATAGACCACAGAAAACAGCTGTTCTCTTGGGAAGTCTTGTTATCCATCTATCTGCAGCATTTTCCATCATTTGCATATCTTCTTGATTCAGTCTACTCCCCACTATCCACATCAATCCTGGGATATTACTTTTTTTTGTGACAATAATGAAGAGTCTCCAACAGTGACTTTTGACTGTCATGTCGCTCCATGATATTGAGGAAGTGATTTGTATTATTGCACAGGTCTTTCATTCAAAGAAGATCCCATTTCTAGGTACACTCATAGGGACATTCAAGATTGATCTAGAGACGGTATACAGCCAACCAGGTATAGTACTTGCAAGATGCTGTTGCCAAGGGCTGCCACTTGATCCTTTCTCATAATTTTGCATTTCATCTATTCCTTGTGCTCCCCCTCTTTATGGCCCTGATGGTGGTGTATCTTTTTATTATTCTTTCTTTTATGATCAGCATAATTCACAGCCATGATCTTGATCTTCCTACACTAAAGCTTTTGAAGCTGGTACAAATTGAATCATCGCTGGCTAACTGCTTGTGTATAGAGTTGAGCTCTGGTCTAAAAGTTGAAGTACTTTGGCCACATCATGAGTAGATAGGAAAGCTTAGAGAAGACAATTATTCTGGGGGAAATTGAAGGAAAAAGGAAGAGGGGCCGACCAAGGGCAAGATGGATGGATGGCATCCTTGAAGTGACTGGCTTGACTTTGAAAGAGCTGGGGGAGATGATGGCCAACAGGGAGCTCTGGCGTGGGCTGGGCCATGAGGTCACGAAGAGTTGGAAATGACTGAATGAATGAACAACAACAACTGGTCTAATATTTGTACCAGGTCATTTTGCTATCTGAGGCAAAGCAGCGAATACAACTGTTTATCGAGTACACACTACATAGTACCCAGGCCAATCAAATTAGTATGACACCTGAGATAGAAAGTCCTGCCAGTACCCCTCTGAAAGTAGAACAACAACATCAATAATAAATTAATTTGGTGCTCTTTTATGGCAGTCAGATTTTACTTGTCTTTTCTCACTATGGCAGCCAAATTAAATACCCACTACACTGGGATTTCTACCATGTACATGGAAAACCTAGAGTAAACATTAGTGCTCACTGCAGCTATAACCTGTCTTGCTGTCAATCTGCATAACTATGCTGATTTCAGGGAAGCAACTGATATATGCTTGCTAAATATTTGCCATGCTTTGCTATTCTTTGAGGGTGATATAAGTTTGTTGACTTTCCCATGACTTTCAAGGCAATAGTGTGCTTTCAAAATTTGAAGATCATAATTGCCATCATGTGCACAAGATCCACAGGAACTATGAATGAACTATCCTGTTTTTCTGTCTTTAGATCACCGATTCTACCAGAAATGGGCTGTGATTAATGACCCAAAGGACACCAGAGCAGGAGTCAAAGGCTTTGTGAAGTGTAACATCTCTGTCATTGCTCGGGGAGATGTGATGGCTTCTATTCCCACTGCTTCCAGCAGTCAGAATGAAGACATTGAAAAGTAAGACTATGCATTGTGTTGTCTCACAGGATATGCATTGTGTTCTCCCATGGGAGTGATAATAAGATATTGCAAAATAGTATTATCCTTCTCATAGTCTGTGATAGGTTTAGAGCTGCAGTGCTAACTTGGATTTGGGACTTTATTGTACAAAGCCGCTATCCCATAGCAGTCACACAATCACAGACAGAATCAACATACTGGGAGGAGCACCATAATTATTGCACATATCTCCGTTCGTGCAACTGAGCGGATCCATATTCCGGTGGTTGTACTTCTGCTAATCTTTGTAAACCTTCCCTCTCGCACTTACGCTGTCCATATTAAAAAAATAATTTCACAATTCCAGTTAATGTTATTATTAAAAATGGAAATATTAAATTAAAAATATTGCCTTGGGGGAGTGGGGAGAGTGGGGGAGGAGAAGAATCCTGTCTCCTGACATCACTTCAGCGCCGAGATGCTGGCAGAGAAACAGAATGGCTGCATTGCACCAAGAAGGTGACAAAAATATGCCTTGATTTGATCAGTTGATGGGGGTGTGGATTTATCATAAGAAAGAAGCAGACTAGCAATGGTATGTGATGACAGTCCTGATTCAATGCTGGTTTGCCTTCTTTGGGCAATAAAATCTCTGGTTTCCTTTGGTAGGACATCACTGGAGAAATGAGTATTTTGTAAAATTTCACATCTATATTTATAAGTTGAATGTATGTCCTACTTGGAAGTTGCTGTGTATCCTCTTTACTTTCACTGCCCTTTCCAACTGGCTGAAGAGATGGTGAACATGATAAGTCTTCTTCTGAAGACTTAAAGAAGATGTAATTGCCAAAAGCAATCAGTCTCAATTTTCTCTTTAAAATTGTATTTGTCAAGTTTGACACTTTAAAGCAGTGGTTCCCAACCTGTGGTCCGTGGACCACCAATGGTCTGCAAGAACTAAAATGTGGTCCACAGCCTCACCATTACTACAACGTTGCAACGAGAGTGACTGGTCTTACGAAACCCTTACCGAGGCATTTTAAATATGGTGTTTGGTGGACAAGCAGATGGTGTCTACTGGATGGTATATGTTCTGTATCAGAAACTAGAGCTGATGTGGTCTATCCAATGCAATTTTCTGAATCAGCACCCCAAATAACCAAACCAAATCTAAAGTTGACCAAAAACTGATTTGTAACCCTTTTGGTACTAGTGTTTTAGAGTGGTCTCTGTCAAATGGTCCCTGGTTAAAAAAAAAAGATTGGGAACCACTGCTTTAAAGAGTTTCCAGTATTAATGCTGGCTCCTTTCGTGTCATGTTTGCATTTTCTTCTCCGAAGCATTTCCTTGACCAACACTGGCATACTTATTGCCCCTAATAACTGACCTTTCTTCCTTTTGTGTTTTAAAGTAATACATAATCATCTCCAAGCTCTTTGGGCAGCATCAAATTTCCTCTCCCTATCCAGGGCTATCATAAGACCAGTGAGGTTGTTGGATACAGTAAAAATTGGGTTCCACTGGTTTCCCAACAACAACAAACAAGCAATTAAAAACGTGACTTTTTCTTTCTTAGAGGTGTGACCACTATTAAGCCATCAAATGTCATTCTTTTAGGAACTTGCTTCTACCAAAAAGAGTCCCAGCGGAGAGACCATGGGCCAAAATTTGCATCAAAATTTACAAAGCAGAGGGTTTGCCCAGCATGAGCGCAGGAATCATGGGTGGTTTTTCAAAGATTGTCGGAGAGAAGAAAGTTTTCATTGATCCATATGTGCAAGTGACCTTCTCTGGACAACAGGTAAGCTTACGCCTAAGCGGGTTTTATGAACAAATATGGTGTTCAGGAACCTTGTTCAGGAACCTTGGGGTACACAGTGTGTTTGTATTTCCATAACTCACAACTGTCCATTCTATCAAATGTGAAATATTATTTTTCTAAGGTAGTTAAGTAAGCAGCCGATTGGCCCCTGTGAAAAACAGAATACAAAGTAACCCTTTGATACAATCTGTCTTGTCCCCTAAAGGAAATGGTTGGGTTGTGAGAACTACTTACTTTGGTTTGTCTAATAAATTTTAGTGAGCTACAAATTCTGATCATATGTATAACAATTCATAAACCTCTGTAATATTCATTTTCTAGTTGTTGACTTTCTAAATTAACAACTTCAATATTCCAATGGTAATATTGCTATTATTACCATGATCATTATCATTACCACCCTTGAGTTGTCATCCAAAAAGTAATGAATCCAAACTGTGGAAATGGCAATAATATGACAGACATATCCTTGTTGGCAAGAATAGTAGAGATCTTCAAATTAAGATGAAAAAGAATAGGATGATCCCAGAGACCAGACCATCTGAATCTTGCTAATATGCAGTTGAGAGAATCCAGCCCTTGTGATCTCTCAGACGTCTACCGCTTAGAATTAAATTGGGATTTGTGACTGCTTTCACTTGTATTGAATGATGATGATGATGATGATTGACTTTGGTTTAGGGAGAAACCTCAGTTGAAAGCAGCAGCACAGAGCCAGTATGGAATGAACAAATCAGCTTCATTGAAATGTTTCCTCCTCTTGTCAGAAAAATAAAAGTCCAAATGTTGGATGATGCAAACATTGGAGATGTTTCACTTGCCACACATTTCATTGATTTGCAGCAAATATCTGACCCTGGGAGAAATGGTGAGTCCCTATTCTTGGTTGTTTCTCACACATTTCTGATTTGCATTTTCTTTCTTTCTACTGTTTCGCAAAATTGTTTTTCAAAGCTGCATCCTCCCAAAGCAGCATACAAATAAGGACACAAATAACAAATATTTCATGCCRGCAGTAGCAAGGCTATAGAACAAAGATTGAAAAGGATATTCCTTTTTAAATTTAAACTTCCCAAAATAACTACAAATTGCCCATCTTAGCTGCACGATTCTGAGACGCATGGTTCCCTCAAGCCATGAGGAGAGGTGGATAAGAAAATATTATTATTYTTATTTGAAACACAACAAGATGAGTCCACAACAGACACTCTGCTGGCTGTTGTAGTGGATCACACMTCGGACACTTCCCAAGTGTCTAGGACTGTGTGATGTATCGGCGAATAATGCGTGCAAATCCCAGTAAGGTGGCCTTCTGCAGCTGGCAGATGATAATTTTGTCAGTGCCGATTGTGTTTAAGTGCAGGCCAAGGCCTTTAGACACTGTACCCAGTGTGCCGATCACCACTGGGGCCACCTTAAGTAGCTTGTGCCAGAGTCTTTGCAGTTCGATTTTTAAATCCTCATATCATGTCAGCTTTTCCAGTTGTTTCTCTTCAATCCTGCTGTCACCTGAGATTGCAACATCGACAATCCATACTTTGTTTTTTAACACAATTGGGAGGTCATGAGTATTGTGTTCCAAAACTCTGTCAGTCTGAATTCGGAAGTCCCAGAGGAGTTTGATCTGTTCATTTTCTGTAACTTTTTCCGGCTTGTGATCCCACCAGTTCTTTGTTGCAGGCATTTGTGGTATTTGTGGCACAAGTTCCCATGAATCATCTGAGCAACAGTGTTATGCCTCTGCTTGTAGTCTGCCTGTGCGATCTTCTTGCAGCAGCTGCAAAAATATTATTATTATTATTATTATTATTATTATTATTATTATTAAGAAGACGTTAACCTTCCTAACCACTTCACATTTACTAAATTCCACTGAATGTGACCCTTAAAATCTAGGAAACATTAGTTTGGCTTCAAGTGTAGGATAGAGCATTATTTGCATATTTTAAGCATGAGAGCCACCATTCTTTTAAAACATTTCATGAAGTGGTGGGGAAGTGGATTTTTTGAAATCATCTGGATGTTTGTCCATTTCTGTAATGTGATGGCATTTGTTGTTCTCAGGTTTACAATGAAATGTTTCCCCAATTTGTGGGAGAAGCCAAAAGTACCCTTGTTAGGGAAAGTACTACCTTTTGCTCACCAAATTTTTACTTTGCCAGAACAATTTCTTTTAAAAAAATAGTATTTCTGTGTCCTTCCCTTTCCTTCTCATCTCTTCCTACAGTCACAGGCTTTTTGATATGTCTGTACCTTGTGTTGCATGTGAAAGCTGGGAGAGAAGGATTATTATTATTATTGTTATTTTACTGACACAAAAACACAGTATGTCACAGCAAACGAGATATATATGCTGGATTTCGTATCACAAAATCACAAGTTGAACACTTCCCAAGCATCTAGGACTGTGTGATGTATTTTCGAATGATGCACACAGATCCAAGTAAAGTGGCCTTTTGTAGTTGACAGATTGTGATTTTGTCAATGTTTATTGTTTCCAAATGCTGGCTGAGATCTTTTGGCATGGCACCCAGCATGCCGATGACCACTGGGACCACTTGTACTATTATTATTATTATTATTATTATTATTATTATTATTATGCCATGTCTCCATGCTGTGCAGTCCTGGGAGTTTCCCAAGGTCCATACCATTCTTTTGGTGCACTTACACAATGGAATGAGAGCTTTTGGACCCCACCTTAAATACCATAACTCCATACTATTCAGTCCTGGGAGTTATAGTTTTCCAAGGTCCACTCCCTTCTCTGTGTGAGCAGGGATAGGGATGGTGGATGGGTCCAAATCTCTGCAGTGTGAAAGAATACTGAAAGGAAACTGAGAAGCATTTAACAGTGTGATAGAAGGTGGGGAAAACATTTGTTTCATTAAAAAACTGAGTAAGACTGAGCTCTTCTCTCCTCTCCTCTACCACATACTTTCCTGCCTAATGTGATGCAGTGATAGGGCTCTGGGAAACTCAAGTTGAATTTCAGATCAGCCATAGAGGCTCACTGGGTGACCTTTGGCAAGTCACTCTCTATCACCCTCAGAGGAAGGTAATTGCCAATCTCCACTGAATAAATCTTACCAGGAAAACCAAGGATACTGTCATGAACTGGAGTAAAAGTGCATAACAAGAACCACTGTGCACTTGCCCAAGGAGATAGCACACCCTTCTTTTACATGCTACTTCCCTTGAAGGCATAGATGTTGACAATGTGGGAGAGGACTTTCTTGATACTAACATCTCATAAATAGAACTCATTTCCTTAAGACATTAGTTCAGTTTTCTCTTTGTGATCTGCGGGTAAGCGAAGACCTTTCTTTTTAAAGCACATGTGACTCTGCTATTCCTTAATTTTATTTATTGGCAAAGGTTTTGTGGTGGTGGAGGAATTGTACTTATTGGAAACTTAGCTTGTTGTAAATGATTTTTAATGATTTTGTAACCAAACTTAAATACAATCTGATGTCCAATGTTCACCAGATAAGCCTGTTCTTGTCAGCAAAAGGCTCTTCTGCCAGCAAAACCTTTTTCTGCCAGCTGATTTTAGAGGTCTGCTGACAGAGGCACCTGATGTCCCAACAGCTTTGCAGGCTATGATCTGCTGGCATAAGAGACACAAAAGTAGGTAAATGAGGTGTGGTAAGGGAGGGGCCAAGTTATGTCAGATCTAAATTTCCTCAAGCCTAGGAACAGAGCCAGAATGGCAAGACCAGGTAAGGTCAGAGTGAGAGTAATCTTAAATAAATTTGAATACCATTAGGCTGGATTTGACTTCATCACAGCTTCAACTAGGCTAATAACAGCCCAGATGATACTTGGCCATTTTTTCCAGTTAGGATTGGATTCATTGCATTTTTATCAGAAAGAAAAGTAGAGTACTAAATGAATATTAATCATAATGTAAATCTGATTGTAATACCATTAGATTTGAAACTGTGTCTTTTCCCATAGGGTTTAATCCCACTTTTGGACCAACTTGGGTAAATCTGTATGGTTCCCCTCAGAACTCAGCCTTGCGAGACATTCACAAAGATCTCAACGAAGGTCTGGGTGAAGGCATATTCTATCGGGGGCGTCTCCTCATGGCTATAACTGTAGAGATTTTCAGCACCATTCAAGCCGCAGAAAAAAAGCCGGTGGAAGCTCTCAAAGGAGCCTTAAGCAAGCTCAAGCTAAAGAAAAAGAGCAAAAAGGCAAAGGAGAAATCCAAAGGCTCTGTTAAAGAGCGACTGCCAAGTCAAGCTGAAGTTGATATATCAGAGGAGGCTGAACAGCCAAATGAAGTGATTGTGGAGGTAGATGACCTTCATCCTCTTCCAGATGTGAGTATTATCTTTAGGTACTTTTGATGCTGCAGTGAATGGAGAGCAGGGCTGGCCCCACAATTAAGCAAAGTGAAGCAATAATACAGGAGTCCTAAAACTTTTTAAACAGAGGGTTAGGTCACAGTCCCTCAAACTGTTGGAGGGCCGGATTATAATTTGAAAAAAAGTGAATGAATTCCTATGCACACTGCACATATCTTATTTGTAGTGCAAAAAACACTTTAACACAATAGAATAATTAAAATGAAGAACAATGTTAACAAATATAAACTWATTAGTATGTCAATGGGAACTGTGGGCCTGCTTTTGGCTGATGAGATAGGATTGTTGTTGTTGTTGTTGTTGTTGTTGTTGTGTGCTTTCAAGTCCTTTCAGACTTAGGTTGACCCTGAGCGAAGGCTGGGTAAATGACATTGGAGGGCTGTATCCAGCCCTTGGGCCRTAGTTTGAGTATCCATGCAATAACAGATGGAGGGTGGAAGATGCTCAGGTGACATGTGCTGAACAGAAGGCACATTTTTTGCAGAGCAATGGCAGGGTATTACTTGACAGAACTGGAATGATAGAAGGTGAGCTTGTGCTTTTGGAGTCTTGGTTGATTTTTTGCYCAAAATGTTTGGAGTGTTTTTTGAGGTGTGGACCAAGGGAATAATAATAATAATAATAATAATAATAATAATAATAATAATAATAACAACTTTATTTTTATACCCCGCTTCCATCTCCCCAAAGGGACAAGCCCAGAGAGCACAGAGCTAAAACATAATGCAATAAAACAAAAACAAAACAAAACCAAATAGAAACATATCACAATAAAACATAGCATTATGAAAACAGCACCTTTGGAGCAATAAAAGTGCTGAGTTCAGAGGGCTCTGAGTTTGTGCAAAATTCCTAGATAGAGCTAAGGGAAAGTGCAAAATTCAGTGGCAGGGATAGGAGAGTAAAGGAATGGGATTCCTATGGAATGGAAGTGCATTGCCAACTTGGCAATTTCCAAATGCAAGCCTCAGACACTTGGAAGTATGTGACACTTGAAAGCAGAACAGTCAGAAACCATGTGTGACTTTGGAGCTATGCAGTTTATTCAAAACTTAATCATTGATTATAAGGTACAGAAACAGGCATTGTTCTCCTTGGGCCATGTTATTTGACATGAAGTACTGATGAAGTAACACACTGTGTACTCCAAGGTTCCTGAATATCCTACCCGAAGCTTCATAGTTCCTTGCAATATACTGAAGTCAATATGTAACAGCATATTTGTTCCTATGTTGATCAAAAGGAAGAAGTAATAGTTGCTGAGTTTGATGAATCTGCTCATCTTTTCTGTTATGACATAAATGTTTGCCCCTGGGCAAACATGTCCCACTTCTTTGGACATCTTCTCAGGCCCACGTACAGCTGCTTTTGATCTTCTTTCCAGACATTTGCCTACTATCAGTGTGTGCTACTTTTTGCTCTGCAAATTTATTGGAGCTTCTCCATTCGTAGGATCCTTCAAGGTCACCTCTATGTTCTCTATTGCCCCTGCTCCTGTACCCAATAACAAATGATTAAGGGAAGAACTTGAAATCAACTTTGCAGCATGATTCTTGATAGCCCAGACACACACAAATATACACACAATTCTTCAGATGGCTGAGCTGAATAAGCTCATTTTTCTCTCTTTTTGCAGACAAGGAGATACAAAGGCTAAGGCAGCAGCTTGTTTCTAATCAATGTAGTGATTCCCTTCCATTCAGAAGAACCATTCCCTTAAACCAGTGGTTTCCAATCTTTAAGAGATCACAGACCACTGAGGCAAAAATTGGATATATTGTACACTATTAAGATCAATCAAATCCTTTCTCCATGGAGTGCCTATGTGGGGGCATTCACACAATAAGTCAAATACATAAGTATCCCAGAGGTTTCTCCTTGCTATGTGACATCTGAATTGGATATGGATGTGTATTTTTAATTAAGTATTTGCAATTTGTAAAGCCTTCATGTTCTCCTCTTCTACACTACACATTTATAGTTCTATGATGCCACTTTAATTGCCATAACATCCTATGGAATTCTGGGATTTGTGATCTATGGAAGGGCATCTAGCATTCTCATCTAGGGAGTTCTAGTGCCTCCAAATGATAGAATTCCATAGGATGTTGCCAAGATAGTTCAAGAGGAATCATAGCACTATAATTGAGTGGTGTGAGAGGGCATTCAGATTGAAAAGAAAACCTGCTGCAGATTTATTTCTAATGCCAATGCTACGTATACGGAGAACAAAAAAGTATTCAAGATGTAGTTGATAACTCAATTTGAGAATCATTTTCAGTAACTTGAGGAGGAAAGGAATGAGAAGACAGCATTGAACCTTAGACTCGCTGACCCCTTGTTTCCTTTATTTCAGAATGCCTTGGGTGTGAAAGAGGAATTTCTTCTCTTTGCCTCCTTCTTTGAGGTGACTATGATAGACCCATCGATAGGCACCAAACCTGTGAAATTTGAGGTCTCAATAGGTAAATACATTATAGACTTTTAAAGGAGTTCTTACCAAAACTCTTCCACATCTGTCACCCACTCTACTGTATCATTCTTCTTTCTCCTCCATACAATTATACCTCCACACTTAAAGTTTCCTATCCAGCTATCCATCTGGAGGATGTTCTTCAGTGCTCCATAAGTATAGCTATGGCATGACAGAATTGTTCAGATTAGCCATGCACAAGCTGATTTATGAAGTTATATTCTTACACATATTGCTTAAGAGTCATATCAAAGTGTTTTAGAAAATGGCAAATGCCCTTAATGTGGAAGTTTAATTCAACACATGTGTTTTCTTACATTCCACTATCATTTTTTCTCTTCAAGGTGCTGGAAAAAAAAGCTTTCTAGTTTCTCTTGCAATTGTTCCAGAAAAAATGTTACTTGGCCCACTGCCTGCATCCTCAGCACAAATGATAATAAGCAACACAAGTTGTTAATGCTCCAAAGATGTGATAAAGGGCAGTTACACTGATTAGACAAAGCTTTGTGCAACTATGCCTTCTAAATGGGCACAATAACAATGACTAACCACATTCATTTTCAAGGGAACTATGGGAAAGCTGAAGAAGTTGTATCCAAAGTCTCCAAGAAAGGTGAGAAGGGAGAAAAGGGTGAAGAGAAGCAGCCTTTGTTAGAGGCCAGTTCAGATGATGAGCTAGATCTTGAAGTCATATCTCCAAGCACACCTTTGCTTGATAAATCTGTGACTGCGAGCCAAAGGCCTGAAGCCACTGAATATGACAGGTAACTGCTCTTCTTTGCACTCTTAAACCACAAATTTCTTCACACTCTATATGTTTTTTATTCATTTCCACATATTAGTCATTTGGAAGGAAATCAGTGAATTCTTTAGTCTGGGGCAGGTCACTGTTGGATATAGGCAGCTGCATCAGCTTCCCCAGTAATAAGATTAAGTTTAGGCCAGTGGTTCTCAACCTGTGGATCACCAGGTATTTTGACCTACAACTCCCAGCAATCCCAGACAGTTTACCAGTTGTTAGGATTTCTGGAAGTTGAAGGCCAAAACATCTGGGAACCCACAGGTTGACAACCAGTGGTTTAGGTGGTGTGACAGAATTTCTGACATGCTTTTGCCATATACCCAAGGCCATTTTGAGTCAAGAACAGGCATGGGCAAACTTTTTTGCCTTGGGGCTGCATTGCGGGCCCAGCTGGAAGGGCTGGGCTGGTTGGGTGGGAGGGGAGCCATTCACTCGCAGGACAGGACAGGCCCACGAGGGGCAGGGGCTGGGAGAGGGCGGGGCCAGGAGGGGCAGGACAGGGTCTGGGTCATCTTCAATTGTCCTCCCACATAATTATGGGGCTGCTTGTTCCATCCTTATGCCAGGAGGAAGGCGGGACACACAACGAGTGCCGCGATAGTCTTCCCCCAATCTTTGGGCTGTCCTCTTGGCATTATGCCAGGCGGAGGGTGAGTCAGGCGGTAGCTGACAGTGCTCCAAAGGGCTCTCAGTCACCACATGCTTTCCTTGAGCTTTCCTCCTGCCATGGGGCTGCTTGTACCGTCCTTATGCCAAGAGGAGGGCAAGACACATGGTGACTGAAAGCACTCCAGAGGACTCTCAGTTGTCCTTTTGGCATAAGGACGTGGCAGGCCTCCATGTACTTATGCCAAGAGGACGAGAAAAATGAGGAGGGCCTGAGCTAAGCCTTAGTTTGTCCATACGTGGTCTAGAAGATACTTTTTAAAATGTTGATCCCATCATTAAGGAGACACTGGGGAGAATTTTGAATAGACATTTTAAAATTTTATCTGATGGGGTCAAAATTTTTGGTGGGGGGAACTGAGTCTGCACTTTGTTTCCCTTGGATTTAGTCTAACACCAGGTTCTGTGTCTGAAGAATGTTCCGTCAAAATTATGTTACCCCAAGGTGTTCTCATTAGTGGTACAACTAGATACAGAAAGTTGCATAGAAAAATCATGTTTATTTATTGTCGTGTCAGGAGCGACTTGAGAAACTAGAAGACAGATAGTAGGTTTCTAACTATAAAGAAAATAAAATTTCTATAGCTGTAATTCATGCAAATTAGCTCTTAAAGGGAGAAGATAAATAATATCTCAACAATAATTATACAGACAGATAAAAACATCCTCCAGTGTATGTTATTGTTAACTAGAGAAAGTGGAGTTGGGGTAAGGAGTCATGCAAAAAGAGATTTTTGAGACTGCTTGTTATTATACCAGTATAATTCAAGTCATTTCCACCTTATGGTACCCTAAGACAATCCTTTCACAGGATTTCCTAGGGCTGGGAGCTGACTCTCTATTGGGGGGTAACAAAAGTATGTTATGATTTATCTATACAACCTGTAACTCTTCTCTTCCTATTGCTCTCAGCGCTTACAGTTGCCTGCCTATGCTGCACGAGAAGCCATGTGTTTATATTTGGAGCTACTGGGAAGACTACACCTGGAGACTCTACAATTCCAACTGGATTGTCAAAATAGCAGAGCGTTTGGTAAAGTATTGCTCTGCCTATAATGAACCCATCAAGTTCTGCTGTTTTTTCTTCTTAATCCTATTTTAATGTAATTTTTAAGAAGTCACAATTTCTAAGAGTTGTTAACTTGATTGCCACTTCATAATTTAATAAGTGTATTTAGAAATTATATTTGAAAGAAAACCCTTCAAGAATATTTTATTACATACATATGTATATACATATATACATATATATTTTTTAAATGGTGTTATGCAGTTATCTTTGGTATTTCTTATGGTTCAGCTTCCTTTTGGGAGATTACTTGAAGAATATTAATAAACAACTTCTTTAAAACCTCAACAGAACACAGCTTGCCTTTGGCATCTGGGATCTCAGCATTGTATTTGTCATAACAGGAACATGGACTGGAAGATGTGGAAAAGCTGTTGAGGAGACCAAAATCAAAAGCAGACGAAAGGCTTCGACAAGTTCTGGAGGAATTTGTAGCTGGATGTAGGTTAGTGCATCTCTACAGTCCTTTCATTGAAACACATCATTGTCTCATTCTGCCACTTGAGCTCCTTCTGTGTCAATCACACACGTCAGTAATAGTTTGAGACTGGGGTCATGGTGGCGCAGCAGGTTAAAATGCTAAGTTGCAGAACTTGCTGATAGGAAGGTTAGCTGTTCAAATCCATGGACAGGGTGAGCTCCTGTTGTTAGGCCCAGCTTCTGCCAACCTAGCAGTTTGAAAGCTTACAAATGTGAGTAGATCAATAGGTACCGCTTCTGTGGGAAGCTAATAGTGCTCCATGCAGCCATGTCGGCCACATGATCTTGGAGGCATCTATGGACAATGCTGGCTCTTTGACTTAGAAATGGAATTGAGCACCATCCCCCAGACTTGGACACAACAAGACTTAATGCCAATGGAAAACCTTTACCTTTATCTAGTTCCTAAAAGAACATTACCAAAGCTTCAAGTGCAACCATTCTTGGATTCAGATCCAGGCACTCAAGAGTTTTTCATAAAGGTATAGAATCTGATGAGAATTCACTGTTGACAGACAGCAGTATAGCACAAAGCTCTTTAAATGTCTTAAATAATCATTATGATATGTGAGTATTTCCCCTTATATTTAGTACATCTCTAGTTAATGCAGATATGTTCATATCTATCTATATGTCTATCTTTCTGACATCATGTAATAGAATAGAAGAAGTACACTTTGGTCTGACCCGGTACAATTCTTATTTTCTTGAAAGGAAAAAAGTGGAAAGGGAAATATGAAATAGGAGAAAATTTACCTCTCTTCTAGAATGTTGATGTCATTTTCTTGACCAATATTCTTAGAAGCAAGACTTGTCACCCCAATAAGATATAACAGATCAGATGCCAATTTTTTGAAGATAGTCTTGGGTTTCATTTTGTAGCATGGCATTCATAGCAACTCCATTATGACAATTGTGACTTTAGCAGTTGGGTTTATCCTCTGTTTGTGTAGAAACATCATGGAAGCAGGCTGTTGCATTTGTTTATTCTGTTTGCATGCCTCTCCAAGGATCTATGTGCAATAAACAAGGAGGTGGTTCCTGGTTTTTTACCCTCACAACATTTTTGTGAGCTGTTAAGAAATGCACCACCGGGGGGGGGGGGGTCCTATCACTGGAATACATGATATGGAGTAGCAAAAGGGTGGGCGATGTGTGTCTCTCCAAACATTATTGGACTACAGTTTACATCACTCCAAACCATTTGCTATGCTGTCTGAAGATGATGGGGGATGAAATCCAGCAAAAGTTGGGGGAGTGCAGTTCTCCACTCTTGGGATTGAATTAGATGAAGCCATTGGCGATATGCACTAGGAAATTGGACCAATGATCAAAATAAAAAAAAAAACCCAGATCTGGTACTTTCTTCAATAGGCCACAACTTCAGAGAGGAAATGCAGAACAGCAACCCACTTTTCCTCCCAGCGTTTAGCTTGACATGTTTACATAGTCCATTATTGGTTTTATTTTCTTTCTAAAAGAGAAGACATTTCCACAATGATCTTAAAAATGGTCATTGACCTCTATCCATTTTAACTTGTGAAATATGTGCCTTCAGTCATAGCATCAAAACTCTCAATTTCTCTCATTACAGGCAGTATTCTCTTAATGCGGACAAAAAGCCAATGACCCGTCCAAATAACCTTGATCGATGCCGGATGAAATCTCTCCCACAGAATGTTGTAAGTCAGGTTGCATTGTATAGAACATTGTAAATCAGGAACTGTGCAGCCATCCAGATTTGTTGAATTGCAGTCCCCATTATTCTTTACCATTAGTTTGATAGCTTTGGGTGTTGAGAGTTGCATTTCAATAATATCTGGAGGATTACACAGTTTCTACCTCTTGTTACCTCCAGATGGACACTTGGTTTCATTTTTCAGGAGAAAATGGCAGTTTAAATACCAAGGGCTTCATTAAATAGCCTAATCTTCATCTAGTAACTCCTAATATAAAGTTCAGCATGTCACGAATTTCTTTGTGACCATACCAAGTTTGGGAAGATTGCTCTCTAGCCATGGTGGAGGATTTGGGAACTAACTTTTCCAAGCTCTGTATCTATGCAAATATCTACGACTTTACAAAGTTGTGTGCAAGTTCCATTTATTTTAGAGTGCACTTTGTGTAGGAAAATGGTTCCCCCCCCCCTATTATTTTATTTATAGACTGCCCTCTCTCCCTGAGAGGGACTCACGGCAGTTTACACACAAAGATAAACATTCAGCACCCTACATGAACACAAACATCTTAAAAATAATATAAAATAATACAAAATTAGCACAAGAGTAGCACAATAGTTGCTGGCATCCTCTTGAAAACATTAGGGTTTTGCTTCCTGTATATTCAAAAAGCCTGTAAAACCTCAAAGTGACCAAGCAATACAATTGCTTCTCATTCCTGAATACTGTGGATGTTCCACAACATCCCATATCCTGTTCTTCCTTCCCACTCTCTCGTTTTTCCTCCTTTGGCCCTTGTTACCTTTATATCCTCCCAGATGTCAATGTGTTTTATTTCTCTTGCATTTTCCCTTTGTGCATTCCATTCTTCTTCTAACTTTATATATCTATTATAAGCCAAACATTTCCAAAATGATAAGTCATTTTTTCCACTGTTTGACAAACATGAACGCTGACAGCAATCAGAATCTATGTTGCCAATGATTATAATAAAGCAGCTTTGAGATTAGGTGCTTGTTAGGAAAATGGAGGGACGTTACATGTTTGAAACATGGGAATTCATTATTGTCCCCAATGTGATACTGGTATGAAGATGATGTGTATATGTGTGTGTTTTTATGCGTGTTCAGATCCTGTACGCAAAACAGGGACTCCGCATACGAAGGCGACTCACTCGCACCAACGTCAAGGAGAAGGTCAATGAGGCAAAGACAATTTTGTCAAAGCTGCGCTTCCTGGCTAAAGAGGTATATGAGATGATTATAGGTGTGCAGGTTTGGCCTAGGCTGTGCTATATACTAGATCTGACTCCACCTTAATAGATCTGCCTATACAAGTCTCTAAAACAAGCCACTAGGTCCTATGGTAGTGGAGAAAATTATGCAAAATGTGAGAGTTTCCAGGTGATATGTTATAAACCAGAAGATATCAACATATTTTTTTCTAATAACCCATAGTTCCTACATTATCAATTGTACTTTCTTTGATTTCAACCTCTTTCATTCCTTTCCATTATCATAATGTCTAGCACAGTGGTTCTCAACCTGTGGGTCCCCAGATGTTTTAGTCTTCAACTCCCAGAAATTCTAACAGGTGGTAAACCATCTGGGATTTCTGGGAATTGTAGGCCAAAACACCCGAAGCAGAAGGTTTGAAATATTTGAAATCTTCTAGGTAAAGGTAAAGGTTTTCCCCTGACATTACGTCCAGTCATGTCCAACTTTGGGAGCTGGTGCTCATCTCCATTTCCAAGCCAAAGAGCTGTCACTGTCCATAGATATCTTCAAGGTCATGTGGCTAGCATGACAGCATGGAGCGCCATTACCTTCCTGCTGGAGCAGTACCTATTGATCTACTCACATTTGCATGTTTTTACTGCTAGGTTGGCAGAAGCTGGGGCTAACAGTGGGAACTCATGCTGCTCCCTGGATTCGAATCTGCGACCTTTTGGTCAGCAAGTTGAGCAGCTCAGTGCTTTAACACACTCCTGGAGACCCCTTGAAATCTTCTACCCTTTCTTTTAGCCCCAGTGTACTATACCTGATGTCCTGATATGGATGTTTAGCAACAACAAGCGTGTTGCATACACAAGGATCCCTGCTCAGAACATCCTTTATGCAGTAGTAGAAGAAGAAAAAGGCAAGGATTGTGCGAAGATCCAGACTATTTTTCTAAAGGTAGATATTATCTTTTATTCATCAGTATTTAAAGCTAAAGGGAGTTGAAGTAAATATAAAGGAGCAGAATGTCTTTCAAGATTTTAGTAAAGTAGCAGCTCCTATTCTCAGAATGCTTCTGATGTTCTTTGGGACTTAAAGGTTCCAGGCTCACGAACTGGAGAGATCTTTGCAAAACTGGAAATCTACATGTGGCTCGGAGTAACAAAATATGTGAAGAATAGCACTACAGAGCTACCGGAGGAGTTCAAACCAATCTACGATCAGGCACAACAGACTGCAAGGATCCCAAGGTATCTTCCACCCAGTCATCTCAACAGGGATGGTAAGTTTGAAATAATTCATTCTCCATTTAGAACTGGATTAGCTATTTGTATCTTTGTAGTCAACTAGTCAGTCCTTTTCTTGGATGGTGCCATAGTAGTTAAAGCAGCATCAAACTGCTATAATAATGCAGTCTGTATCTACTTATAGTCTTGTCATATGCTGCTGCTGTTTTGTTAATGTAAGCCTGGAAATGTTGGCTGCACTGTCTAATGAGTTCGACACATTGTTATTATGATGTTTATTTTTACCCCGCAAGAAGATTTGAGTGACCAAATAGGAGAAACGTTTGCCTCTGTGTAGTTTTAGTCCTTGTTACTAACTAAACACATATATAATTCTAGTTTGCTGTAAACAAGTCACAGAAACATTACTATTGCTCATGGAAATCTGTGTATATCATACATTGCGCTATATATTTGAAAGGTTAATGTCCTTGCCATTTTTTGCAGATTTCAGTTACTTTCAGCTGCGAGCCCATTTGTACCAGGCTCGGGGGATTCTCCCTGCTGATGAAAATGGCCTTTCTGATCCTTTCGCAAGAGTGGTGTTTTCAACCCAGTGCCAGACTACTAATGTAAGTGTATTTCCAGGACAAGTGTGAATAAGCATTTTGTACTCCCAATAAATACTGAAAGTTGTGTGTCCTGCTCAGAACTAAGGAATAATGGCAATATCTCATTTCAGACTGAAAAATAGGAGCTTATTATTGTAACTCGGTACCTTTGAAAAGCATTATTCATTTTTTTCAGAGTGACTTATCACATTGTTTTCAAAATGGCCTGAAATCTAAAAAGGTTTTTCTCAAGATGCGTCCACTCATTTTAGCCCCCAAATGCATAGTGAAAAAATAAAGATTACATACAGTACAATAAATAATAATAATAATAATGCACTTTATTTATATTCTGTTTTGACTTCCTGAGGGAACTCAGAGCGGATTAAACATACACAAATAGGTAAATATTCAATGCCTTTAATACAGTGAAATAACGATGACACACAAGTACACAGAACAAAGTAAAGGCTTCCCTTTTTATCTCTGGCTTCGGAAGGCAGTGCCCAACTACGGCCATGGGGAGGAGCTCTTTCTCCATTTCCAAGCCGAGGAGCCTGTTGTCCATAGACAACTTCTGGTTGCGTTGCCAGCATGGCTGCATGGGCACCTTATATTACCTTCCCACTGAAGTGGTACCTATTGATCTACTCACATTTTGCATATTTTGAACTGATAGGTTGACAGGAGATAGGGCTAACAGCAGGAACTCACCCCAACCCACGGCTTCGAACTGCCAACCTTCAGGTCAGCAGATTCAACAGCTCAATGGTTTAACCCGTTACGCCGCCGCAGCCCTGCAAATAAACAAGTTGTGATTTACCATTGCTCTCCTCTCCAAAGGGGTTTTTTGATGGCTTTCCTAGGCTTTGAAACGGTCTCTAAGGAGGCCGAGATGGCTTTTTCTTTAAAGGTGAAAACTTTTTTTTTTTGCCAAACCCTTAGAATAAAGAGACCGGATACAGATATAAGCTTTTACTTTTTGGCTTGTAACTATTTTTAACTGTATTTTGTTTTAAATGGTGTAAATCTTCTTGAGTCTCAGTCCTGGAAAAGACAGATTCCCTTCCCAACTTGCTTTTTCACCTATCCTTATAGTTCCCCATCAGAGGGAAAGTGAATCAGTAGGTGGCATGATTTTTTTAAAAAACGCAAGACTATTTATCTAGCTTAATTTATATTTTGTTTTGGACCGATTCTTATCCATAGCCATGTAAGATTGCTTTTGTGTTTTTTTAAAAGGTTGATATGGTTGCATGTTGCATGCAACAACTTTGGATTTAAAGTAGGCATTTTAAACAATTATTCTACTTCTCAATTATTTTAATCATTTTAATGCAGATTTTGGAAGGAACACTTAGCCCGATGTGGAACGAATTACTTCTATATGACCAGCTCATTATTGACGGAAAGAAAGAGGAATTGAAGACAGAGACTCCAATTGCTGTTGTCAATATCTTTGATTACAATAAATTTGTAAGTAAGAGAATATAAACAGGTTACCAAGTTTCCTGTTTAATTGTGTGGTACTTACTTTGAAAGTAGTTGTTATACTCCATAAACTTCATTTTTGTGGCTACCACAAATGGTTGCATATATTCATTGAAAAACTATAGCAAAATGTGCTGCGTGATATCCCACAAAATCAAAATAATTGCGGTTTAATAAAATTTTCCATCTTTTTGTGAGAGAACAAATTAGGAAATGACATTTATAATCCAGGAACAACAATCATATGACATCGTGTTATTCACTTCCATTATCTCTCCTGATAAATGTTTTCTGCCTTGTGACAAATACGGCATCCTTCCGTGACTGCTTAATTGGGGGCACAGCTGGGAAAAATTCTGGCCATCCTGCCTGGGGAATTCTGAGGGTTGTAATTAAAAAGTGAATTTCCCAGACTCTACATATCATGAGACAGCAAAAATGGAAATACATGTGCGCATGCTATTATTTGTTTGTGTGTTTGTTTCAAGCATTTATACCTTGTCCTTCTCATCCCCAGAAAGGGGGGGGGGGGCAGACTCAGGGTGGCTTACAATATGCAACCATTTGATGCCGAACATTGAGTTAACAAACATAATTTAAACAATCATTAAAACAATTCAAACATTCAAAGATTTAAAATTCTGAAATATTGCCAGTTTAAAACATGATCCATTATCAGTCCATTTGCCGGTCACAACGGTCAATTGCATTCAAGTCACTGTATCTATTGCTCAAAGGCTTGACCCCAGAGCCAGGTCATGAGTTTTTTTTCATAAGACCAGGAGGGTGGAGGCAGATCTGATATCATTTGGGAGGGAGTTCCACAGCTGAGGAGCCACCACTGAGAAGGCCTTGTCTCTTGTCCCCAGCAGTTACACTTGCGACTGAGAGCAGTGCCTCTCCTGGTGATCTTAGAGTTTTTTAAGGTTCATAGAGGGAGATGTGTTTGGACAGGTAAACTGGTCTGGAGCTATTTAGGGTTTTATAGGCCAGCACTTTGAATTATGCTCGGTAGCAGATTGGCAGTCAGTGGAGCTGGCGTAACAGGGGGGTTGTGTGCTCCCTGAATCCAGCTCCGGTGAGCAATCTGGCCGCTGTTCATTGGACTAGTGGAAGCTTCCGAGCAGTCTTCAGAGGCAACCCCATGTAGTCGCAGACAACTCCTGAAATAATGGCATAATGAAATGATATCTTTGCATCTAATGGCAGTTTCTTTGACTTCACAGGGTTCTCCAGAGTTCCTTGGTCGAGCATTTGTTACACCACTAGTGAAGCTAGTAGATGAGCCATATAGCAAACCTTCTCTCCAGTTTTTTGACATTTATAAAGGGCATAAAGCAGCTGGAGAATTAATTGCTGTTTTTGAGCTGATTGAACTGGATTATAGCGGCTACCTAGAGGTAAAGAGACTCATTGCCATTGCACGAGTACAAGGAAGTACATGACAGCTTAATAGACTGAGAATATTCCTGCAGCATACTGTATCCACAGTCAACAATATATATTCTTAACATAACATATGAACATCTTCCCAGTATGTTCTTCTAGAAGACTCGCACTTGGGTTTAGTGAAGGGCTGTATTTTATGGGAAAATCTTCTAATTAAATCTATGGTGAAAACTTTAATTTGAGTGAGGGCTTTGCTGCAATGTGATCTTCCATCTTTATTTAACAACAATCACAGATGTCCATACATCTGATCATAACATGATTAATTTCTGAGTAAGAATGTGTAAATTCCAGATATACAAAGCCTTATACCTATCTGTTTAGAAAGAAAGGTTTCATTCTTAGATTGTAATAAAACTTGGGTGGTGATATGTCAGATTAATACATAACTTATAAACATTTTTATGCTTGTGCTTGAAGCATCCTCACTGAAATTTCCACATAAATGACAAACAAATCACAAAATCTTCAATTCACTATTATGACTTGTTTTGAACCAGAAAATTGTGATTAACAGATTGAAAACAAACCAGTTGTGATTTGAAGTTGCTTTGATCTCATAGTTCTTCAGTATTTGGAGTCATTGGAGACATCCTAATTTCTTTACTAAGTTGGAGCAAAGGGATGTAGACATTTATATTTAGGTTAGGGAAAAAAAACTTTTATTTAAAAGGTGCCATGTAGTCTAACTGTCACCTGCTGTCCAGCCCTCAGTGCCTAATGATGTAGAACCCAAGGAGCCAGAATACTTGGGGGATCCCCGTTCTGGACGTTTCATAATTCCTGATGGAATCCGACCGATCCTTAAGGAATTTCGCATAGAGGTAAAATTATTTATTTCCCTCTCCTTTCTGAAGATATTTTAACAGTGAATATATTTGATGTAACAATTGCTTATCTTTTTGAATAGATGAGTGACTATGGGGAGATGTGTGGCATCAATAACATGTCAACGTACTTGTAAAAAAATATGTCAAATTATTTGAAGAGTTACAAGAAATATTCCTGATTAGCCTGATTGTGTCCTTGCAGACCACTATGGAAATATATAGATGTGGAAATTGGTATTAAGAATGAATTAAGTCATAAATATTGCTGTTATTGTCTGCCCTCAAGTTTCTTATTTATGATGACCATAAGGTGAACCTATCATGGATCTTATGGGATTGAGATTATGTGCCCAGTAAGTTTCCAGAGCAGGCAATTGAACCCTGGCCTCCAAAATCATAGTTCAAGGCTAACCCCCCCCCCCCCCCCCCCACACACACACACACTGTACCATGCTGATTTGCCCATCTCAAAATGATACATTAATCTGACTATTTTAGTTTTTCACTTTCTCCCATGTTACTCAGGACACATGTTACTCCCATGTTCCTCAGGACACATTTTCTTGGTGTCCTGAGGTGTCCTGAGGAAAAATAATAAATGGAGTAAATTGGGTTGTGAGGAACCTCTCTGGAGAGAAGATGAAGTGATGAATTGTGATCTGCAGCCATTAGCTAGTTAAGTAATTTGGTTGGAACACAAAACCATACAACCTGAATTCTTGTTCTATGGCAGATTCTTTTGCCTCCTCCATCAACTTTTCCTGCCTTGAAACTCCACATAGAATCTGCAGTTTTCTAGGAGGGTCGTGGTTTTTGTAAAATCATAGTCCTGGATGATATGGTAGACGTTATGCAGCATTCTCCTATGTTGCACCGTGGCATAGGCTACCATAAGGTCAATAAAAACTGTTCTCGTAATGCAACCTTTCTCATAGCCTTCGGTCAAGTTATGAATTTGAGCTGTACAGTTTTTCCCTGGTCTGAAGCCTGTTAGTTGTGAAATAAGCTGGGGTTCAATAACAGGACCTAGTCGATTTAATAGCATCATCTCATATATTTTATACAGATGACATAAGAGAAAGATTGGTCAGTAGTTCTTGGCATGCCAAGAACTGATTGTGAAAATTCAAAAGCCAGTTTTCGGGTTTGGAGCTAAAATTGTTTGAGTTGCTCCATCATTAAGTTTTCTAGGCTAGGTGCTTCTCTGGTTGAAGTAGTCTGCAGTGCCTTTCATGTTCCTTGATTCATGTTTGGGC